AAGCTTGGGACAGTACATTCTCCACACTGGAAACAGACCTCTACCTTAAGACAGAGTTTAAAATTCAAGTAATTGGCTGGGATCATGAGCAAACAAAGGCACAAACAAAGTCAGACTATAGAATCTTTCTTTTGGTGACAAAGAAGATCAAAACATACAACCAGAAGAAGACAGCAAAGTCAAAACTCCACCATCTAAACACTCCAAGAGAAAATATGAATCAGCCCCAGGCCATGGAAGAGCTCAAAAAGAATTCTGAGAAGCACTTAAGAGAAGTAGAGGAAAATCTGGGAAGAGAAAATGAGAGTGAGGCAAGAAAATCATGAAAAACAAGTCAACATGTTGCTTGCTAAAGGAGACCACAAAAAATACTGAAGAAAATAATAACTTAAAAAATAGCCTAACCCAACTGGCAAAAGAGGTCCAAAAAGCCAATGAGGAGAAGAATGCTCCTCTTCAACCTCACCTACACATGGTCATTCAACCTCATGTTAAGAAAAGGATGTTGAGTAGGTCTGTTAATTAGCAAGAGATAATATCGTGACCCTCTGTCTGTAGTTCTCTGGGTACTTTATCTATCAGACCTAATCCCTGAAATCTATTTGTCATTTCCACTTCATGTTCAGGAGGGAAGTTATTTAGGTCACACCTATGTGGTCTGATGATTTTCCTTCTTTCTTCCAGTATGAATTTTGCAAAAAGAGTCTCATGATCTGAGCCACAGTCAGCTTTAGGTCTTGTTTTAAACTGACTGCATAGAACTTCCACACTCTTGGCTGCACAGTGTATGGACAATCTGATTTCTCTATTGACCATCTGGTGACATGCATGTGTAGAATTTCTTTTTGGGTTGTTGAAAAAAATGTTTACTATGACCAGTGAGTTTTCTTGACTAACGTGTTAGTCTCTGCCCTGCTTCATTTTCTATTCCAAAGCCAAATTTTCCTGTCCAGTTTCCTTTTGATATCCTACTTTAACATTCCAATCCCCTGTGATGAATGTGAGATCTTTTTTGGAGGTTATTTTTAGAAGCTGTTGCAGATCTTGGTAGAACTGATGAGCTTTGACCTCTTTGGCATCAGTAGTTGCAGCATAGAGGAATGGTTTCCCTTGGATTTGGACACATATCACTCTGTCTATTATGAGATTCTGTCTCAGTTTAAAAGAATGAGGTCCCCTTATTTGGACTGTGAGGGCTGCTCCATTTCTTCTCAGGGATTCTGGTACACAGTAGTGCATGTAAGGATCAGCTGAATGAAATCCATCCATTCATATCCATTTCAGTTCACTGACACCCAAGATGTTCATGTTTAATCTTTCCATCTCCTTTTTGATCGCATCCAGTTTACCTTGGTCCACAGGTCTTCTATTCCAGGTTTCTGCACAATATTGGTCTTTACAGCAGCAGAGTTTCCCTTTGTCACCAGATACTTCCCCAGCTGAGCTTCCTTTTGGCTTTGGCCCCGTTACTCTCTTCCTTCTAAAGCTACCTGCAGTTGTCTTCCATAGTTTCTCAGCTGCATGATGGACATTTCCACCTTGAGGGGCTCATTTTCTGATACCATATATCTTGTCACTTTAAAACTGTCCATGGGGTTTTCCTGCAAGGGTACTGCAGTGGTTTGTCATTTCCTTGTCCAATGAATCGCCTTCTGTCAGAACTCTTTCCTATGACCTGTGTGTCATTGTGTGGCATTGCTTAGTTTCATAGAAGTACTTTTTTCTCCACCACCACATGGCAGTGATCCAGGAGAGGCCTGATACAGCGCAGGTGCCAATCACAAAGGTGATCAATAGATGGCTTTTCATTCATGTTCCGCTCCTTGGCCTTAACTTGTTCTTTCTGGCCTTTCCCAGTCTGGCCTGCCCCATAGCCATTCTTTTCTCCTGCAAACACATTCTGGGATTCATATACCCCAGCACAACTCCTGATGCTTCCTGTGTAAAGCAGTCCTCTCTAGAGCCCCAAGTCTCATTCCAGGTTCTCTAATGGACAGACTTTTTAGATCACAGAGACATCTAAAGGCCAGGAAGGGAGGATGGAGGAGAGGGAACGGGCAGCTTAGAAAAGAGAAGGTTGAGC